TATCGTTGCCTACCCATATTGAGGTTGTTGTTCCCTATTTAAATTCAAAGAATTGTTGCCTACTCAAATTCAGATAGTTGTTGCCTACCAAAATTTAGGTAATTTTTGCTACATAAATTCAAGTTGTTGTTGTCTATCCATATTCAAACAGTTGTTTGATAATTTTTAGGTTGTTTTTGACTAATTTTCTTAGGATATTGTTGTATGAAAGTTTTTGGACTGCTTTGCTTCATAGTATCATAATAATAAAATTTTGATCTTTTTCTTAAAAGAGATTTTGACCTCGTCTTTTTTACACAGACATGATCTTCAATTTGATATTGATAATATCAAAGATACCAATAACCTTGAAAATAATAATTGATTTTAAGCTAATTTCTCAAGAGCTTATTGCCTAACCATATCGAAATTGTTGTTTTCCTTAAGCTATTGTTGCCTACCCATATTGAGGTTGTTGTTCCCTATTTAAATTCAAAGAGTTGTTGCCTACTCAAAGTCAGATAGTTGTTGCCTACCAAAATTTAGGTAATTTTTTCTACATAAATTCAAGTTGTTGTTGTCTATCCATATTCAAACAGTTGTTTGATCATTTTTAGGTTGTTTTTGACTAATTTTCTTAGGATATTGTTGTATGAAAGTTTTTGGACTGCTTTGCTTCATAGTATCATAATAATAAAATTTTGATCTTTTTCTTGAAAGAGATTTTGACCTCGTTGTCTTTTTTACACAGACATGATCTTCAATTTGATATTGATGATACCAAAGATACTAATAACATTGAAAATAATAATTGATTTAAAGTCGATTCTAAATCAAAATTTCAATCCGCTAAAATTTCTTTTTGTCCTTCTTAAGAAACGCTTGGCAAAATTAATAAATATCACCTTTCTTTTAGCTCTAGCTCCTCTTCCAAGCAAAATATACCTCTTTCAAGTGAGAAAATATTTACCGGACTCCAAAAACATTTCCACACCTGCTCGCTCGACTAGACTTACTTAGCGAGATAATATATATATAAAAAATTTTACCCCTCCGCCTTCATTTCTATTTTACGCTCTAGGGTTTTGTCGTTTATATTTTACACAAAAATGAAGCTTTAAAACAAAAATTGGAAAGAAAGAAAGCCCTAAATTTAAGTAAAACAAAGTAGTTCATAAATTATTGAAAAAATTTATTTATAAATTGCAATAATAAATGATTTAACAACGTCTCAAATTTTTCTCTTGTGTTGTGCTGGATGAACACTCAAATACGATCACCTAAAATTTTCATTTTATTTTCAACTAATATGCCCGTAATTCCTGAAAAATAAGCCATGTCTTCTACTACAACTCATAATACTGAAAACCTACCTGGATAGTTTTACCGAGTGAAATTCGAGTGGCCTCAATCTCAACCTTATCGCCCAGGAATGCAGGGCTGATGTGATTGACTGTTAGTTGGACGCCGGCAACTTGCTGGAAGCCGGAGGCCATATAAGCTCCGGCGCTGGCCACACCCTCCGCCACAAAAGCGGCCACGCCTCCGTGCATCCGCTTGAACGGCTTCGATCATTCACATTCAAATCCAAAATCAACAACTCACATCCGCTTATGTTCTTGTATGATCACAGGATCAGCAACATACCTGGCACCAGGATTCGCTCACGGTGAGGCGGCCCGTGATCTTCTCCGGCGAGAAATGGATGTACTCGAAACCTAAAGCGTGGAGGGGCCGATCGAGCTCCGCTGTTAGGGCCGCCGGAGTTTGTTTTTCATGGGGATTTGAGGGAGTTCCGGCCATCCTATAGCTACCAGATGTTTCTTTGTACGAAATTGGGGGAATGGGGTTTTGAAATGGGAATCAATTAGGAGGTCAGCTCTTGCATTTTGAATTCTTCGGCAGAAAAAGCCGCATAGGCAAAGAATAATATACGGGTGGTTGAATAAATCTATAGAAAATATTATGCGGTCATGCCTTGTCTTTTAAAAAAAAATATATATTGATTTATTTTATTTTTTTTATTAATGTATGCTGACATAAAAAAAAAATTATAACATTAATTTCTTGGTAATTTTGATTGATGTGTCATAAACAAATATTTTAACATGAGGCTTGAATCTCAAAACATTTTAAGTTCAAAATTCAACTTCAAGATCGCTTGTTTTGATTTTAGTAAGTTTATAGTCAAATTAGACGTCTTAACGTGACAAACCTGATGACCTTAAAAGTGATCCAATTTAAATTAAAATTAACCTCAATCGAATACTTAAGAACTTTGATGCAACAATTAGAAGATCATATAATTTTAAAATTAGGCATGCTTATAGATAAATCAAGTGAGATCATTCAATTCTCATGTCATTAAGTCACTTAAATGTTAAAAAAACTTTTTATGATGAAGAGAATAAATATGGACAATCTTATGAATTATTTCAAGGGAATTATCAAATTTACCAAATATCCATCTTAAAAATGATAAATAGACCTTCATTCAACATGAGGAAGGAGGGGAGGTAATAAGAATAGTGAGCTAACTACTAAGACTTAACTCTTAAAGCCCTGAAGGCTTTCACCGACCTCTAGAATTTATGATTGACTAGTAGAGTTTATTCTTGACCACCACTGTCATGTGCTATAGCGAAATACATCTATTATAACCACCAACTACAACTATTATTGCATCCAACTATATTATATGTAGCCAAGTATATTTATTATAATCTACAACTACAACTATTGTTAACACCAACTACTGCTTCTGTTCCAATTAAAATTATCATAGTCCCACCACGAATGGTGAAGTCAAACAAAAACAACTATAATCAAAATACCTTAATGCAATGATATTTATTGAGTTATTACAAACCAGTTTTGATTTCAAAATCATCTTGTAATACAATATTCCCTAATTTAAGTGAGACTGAACCTCTACACTTTTGATTACATAGTGAATTATTTTAGCTGGGCCAAGCCTTGTGATTTTTTTCTATTATATGATTTTTCTACGTAAAAATCTTGAGCACTTTTCTCATAGGGTTTCATTTATTCTTGTGTGCACTGGTTCTTTATGCAATGCTAAGCATTAAATTATCACTCTATCGTTCTAAACTTTCTAACACACAAAAATTTTGACACAGTCAGTGGGAACCACTGTCCCACCTTTATTATAGCCATTAAGTATAACATTCATAACAACAAATCTGACCACTCCAACACCCGCTATTCTAGTGTATGATCTTGAAGTCAGAATGTTAGACCTCTACATATGTTTTTCCAGATAGACACTACTCAACTAATGAAGGAGCCTTTTCTTACCCTTAGAAGTCCATGTTTGCATAATGGAGGAATCTCAAAATAAGATTTTTTAGCTTTTACGCAAGACTCGACAACCAACATCAATGCCAATTAGCGAAGCTTAGTTACTTTCAGATCAATCTCTGATTAATGATGCCTAGCTAGAGAACACTGTTCCAACACCCCTCCTTATACTGGTGCACCTCCTCAATTTGGTCAAGAAGATGACATCCTTATTACTGCTAGTTCCACACACCATCTTCCTCATCGGCCTCCAAATTAGCTTGCACTATCACTTCAACTAAATCAAGCCAACATAAGAAAGAAATGAAAGGCTATTTTGGTAGGGACATTTGAGCCGCTTTACATAAAATAATTAGGCTCATTTAGATCAATAAATATCACACCACTAGGGGACAACAAATTCAAAGGTGACAAAAAAAGTTATCAAATATCTTTCTTTATTGTGACTGTAAACATATTTCTAGAAAAACACATGGTCTAACTCAACCTACAACCTAGTCTCATGAAGCACAAAATATTTCTAGAACCTCATTTCAAGCTTAAGGGTGTCAAATTAAACTCTTCCACATATGTTAAAGTCAATAAAAATGCTCCAAATAACAACCTAGGATATGTAAAAAATTCTTAGTGACTTACAATTGACCTCATTCATACGTGTTAATGTCATCTAGCCACACTCCGACCAAAACCTTGAATAGGTTAAAAATCCTTGGTGCATTACATTTAACCTCTTCTTCAATTTAAAGCCATCAAGAAAATGCTTTAACAAATAATCTAGGATATGCTTAAGATCCTTAGTGGATTTCGTACAACCTCGTCAATACAGCTTAATGCCATTGAGTAATGTTTTGACTAAAAACCTATGATAAGTTTAACATTCTTGATGGATTATATTCAATCTCATACACAAAGATTAACATTATTAAGTGATGCTCTTAGCAATAAACTAGGATAAGTCTAACAACTTTTAAGGATTTTTCATAGCATCTTATATACAAATGACCTTAAGTAGGTCAAACATCCTTAGTAAATTCCACATAGCTTATTATATATAAATAACCTCAAATATGTCAACAATATTTAATGAATTTCTCATGATATCTTAGATACATATTAATGATGTATAAATGACCTCCAAAAAGTCAAAATTCCTTGGTAGATTTCTCATGGAATCTTGTATGTAAATGATCTTAAATAGGTTAAACATTGTTGATATCACATTTTTTAGGACCTCTTTCTCTCTAAATAGAATCCTAGGATTTAGCCTTAGGTTTTCTTGTGAACTTCTTTGATGACTAGAGATGGAACTCTCCCATGTAGGACTTCTAACGAATCCTACATTCACTTAAGGTTTCCTGACATTAAGCACAAATCCTTGACCCTTAGTTGAGATGATTGAGGGTCTAGCCCAGTGGTAGCCCAAGTTGAATCCTTGAAGTAGGGGATGCCCTAGATTTCCCATGAAGCTCAAAATCCCTAAGGGATTCTCATTGACCTAGGAAAAACCTATCAAACAAAAGGCTAGGCCTAGGCCAATGAGGGGTTCTTATCACATTACCCTAACATACCCTGAAAGTCGCATGACACCTAAATTCAAGCCAAAAGGTGAAGGGGTGATTCACCAAAGTCAATCCTCGGTCTCACATGAAGCTATCCCAACACCAATTAACCTTAAAATTGACATGAATCCTAAATACATCAACTCTGACATAAGAATTTGAAATCAACAAGGGTCACCAAAGTTCAATTGAGAGCAAGTCAACTTGAGTCAATTATTGAACAATTGAGCCCATTTAAATAAAACCTAACTTGATTCATAGTGAAGACCTAAACCACTTGGGAATCAAAATTATATTAGGGAGACAACCTTCATAATTAACTTACATATTTAATTGGGCTAATTATAAAGGCCCATTAAACCTAATTTTTTGCCATAAATCTAAAGACATTTAGGCTAGGCATGATCATAAAACTCCAAGACATCATGAAGGAGCCCATGACCCATGTTCCATGGCTCATTACACATGGGTCAACCACAACCCACCATGACACACACAACCAACCATGATAATACAACTTAAATAAAAGTTAATTAAAAAAAAAATTAGGCATAAAACAAGCACAAAAGGACAAATGTGCACTATTCACCAAGGGGGACTACCACATGACACCTAGGTCCAAACCACCCAAATAACTTCATGGGTGGGTCAAACTAGACCATTGCTGAGCCCAACCACCTCACCAAAAGCTTCTCCAATCCTCTCATGACTTCGTCTGCTTCCTCCACCACCATAGCATCTCACCTTGACCAAGACATAAAAAATGGAAAAAGCTCTTGTTCCACTAGAAAAGCTCCTGTAATTCTTTTGCTCATTCTCTGAGGAGCCACCAGCGTCTCCCAAGCAGACTAGAGCTTCCCGCCATGGCCTCTCATGGCTATTTAAGAAGGCAACCCGAAAGCTCCACACACACACTGAAGTCCCTAGCCAACCAGCTGTTGACCTCACTTTTGGTTGAGGTCTATTGAAAGCTCCACACACACACCGAAGTCCCTAGCCAACCACCAAAGCTCCTTTTTTCTTAACACAGAAAACACTCCCCAGACCAGAGCGGCTCATCTCCACCACCACACAACCCTAATTTCACCATTGCAGACCAGAGCGGCTCATCTCCACCATCTTTAAGCCATCTCCACCACCACACAACCCTAATTTCACCATTGAAACCCAGGGTGTTTTTATGGCATTAACATCAACTTCGTCAAAACCTCAATCTAACTCTCCCACTAGTTTCACAAGGCCCTAAAACATGACCCCCAATAAAAATCCACTCTTCCCGCACTCCCTAACCTACTTCAACACCAGCCTATGCACCATTTGGTCGAGCTCATATCTAAGACCAATTCAGAGCAAATTGAAGCAAGGACGAGCTTCTTAGCATTAAGATGATCTTCTCTTTCAAGCCCAATCAAGGTCTCACCACTTGGAATAAGGTAAGAGTTCAAATTCCTTATAATGGCTCTCAGTTGAACAATACATACCCACTTAACCATATAGATAGGTTCGTCTCCCTTAGATGAAGCAATAAGATCAACCCCATGCAATTTGGTTGTGTGCAGAGCGAGATCATAAAATTTGATTACGGATGGTTCTCGGTCTTTTGTCCTATAGGGACAATGAATAGACGTCGTCTATTTTGAGTATTCAAAACAGACGGTGAACATCAACTCGAATAGTAGAACCACGAAGGGGGAGCGCATGCGATCGTAGGCCACATCAGTACTCGCGTGTAAAGTGTAACTAGTAGCGGAGCATCACGCGAGAGTTTGACGCATAGCGAAGCTAGCAAGGTGCTGACTGGTTTAAATAAGAAATTCTGATTTTCCAAATTATTAAATTCAAAAAAATTCTAACAAACTTTAAAAATTCATAACTTAATAAAGAAAGTAATAAAAATAAAATAAAAATACCCTTCAACTCAGTGAATAGAGGAAAAAAAGTAAAATGAAAAATAAATTAATTAAATAATATTTAATTTTTAATTAATTAAATGTCTCTGGTATTTTATTATAAAAAATTAAATGTAAAAAAAATAAGTTTTTA